CAGCTACTCTGGAGGCTGAGGCAAGAGAATTGCTTAAGCCTGAGAGCTGGAGGTTGCTATGAGCTGTGACGCCACATCACTCTACTGAGGGTGACAAAGTGAGACTCTGTCTCTACAAAAAAAAATAATAATAAATGCAGGTTATGTTCATACTAAGTGGAGCTGTGACTCCACAGCACTCTACCAAGGGTAATAAGGCAATAAAGTGAAACTCTGCCTCTAAAATAAATAAATTGTATACTTCTAAAGGGTGAATTTTTTTTTTTTTTTTTTTTTGCAGTTTTTGGCTGGAGCTGGGTTTGAACCCGACACCTCCGGTATATGGGGCCAGTGCCCCACCCCTTTGAGCCACAGGCACTGCCCTATAGGATAAATTTTTAAGGATGTGGATTATATTTCAATTTTTAAAATGTCATCAGTAGTTAATTATTTGTATATACACATACGTGATCAATTTAATAGGATTAAGATGATTAGGAGGTTGTTTCTACAAGTACTTGATAATCCACGCTACTTTTAAACTAGGCTTTCCAAACCTGTTTAAATAAGGTAAAAATAAGGTTAGCCACAAAAGTAGAAGCCATGATAATTTGTTGCAGGTTTGTCTATTCATGAAAGAAACTATCCTTATTTCTTCCACTTGGACATGTATATATAGACAGCTGCTACTCGTCTTTCATTATTTCCTTTTCTCTACTATTTCTACAAAATACTTAACAAGTTTCCATAAAGGTTGACTCAATCAATTTTGAAAGTTCTTTCATGAACAGGAAGATGTGTTTTGTGCCCTTGTTACAAGGCTCAATTTACTTGGGAGAAGAAAAATATATCAAGTTAACATTCCTGTTAAAAACCCAAAGCCACGGGTGGCACCTGTGGCTCAGCAAGTAGGGCACCAGCCCCATATATGCAGGGTGGCGGGTTCGAACCCGGCCCTGGCCAAACTGCAACAACAACAAAAAAATAATGATCAAAAAATAAAAAATAGGTGGGCGTTGTGGCGGGCGCCTATAGTCCCAGCTACTTGGGAGGCTGAGGCAAGAGAATCACCTAAGCCCAAGAGCTGGAGGTTCCTGTGAGCTGTG